AGAGAGAGAGAGAGAGAGAGAGAGAGAGAGAGAGAGAGAGAGAGAGAAGGGGGCAGAGGGGTGAGGCGAGCTCTATACCTGGACAGGACTGGGTAATGCCCTATAATGTGGCTTATAGCAGGAATGGCCCTGAAAGAGAGGGGGGAGGGGGAGCACCCTGCTCTGCTACCTGCTGCGTATTTTGCGAGAGTGGGGCGGGCGCGAGGCGCGTGTGCACGTGGATGGGCCTCCCTGTCCTCTCATCTCTCTCGCACTCGTTCATCCTCCCATTTGAGGACACCCCTCTCTCTCTCTCTCTCTCCCTCACACCTCCCTCACACGCGGAGGGTAGTTAATGTCCGCACATTCACGACCCGCGTTCTCAATACAGCCCTCTTCAACGTGCGAAAAGAGAGAGGGGAGGAGGAGGGGGGGGGGAACGGGTAGCGGTCATCACTCACAGGCGCCTCTATGGACAACCCGTGGGCGGCCGGGGCCCGCTCGGATATCCTTCTTCCCAGTGACACCCAAACAGGGTGGACGTTGAGAAATTATTGCTTTATAATGGTCACTCGTAGTGGACGACCTTTATTTTTTGTGCGGGCGGCTGTCTTCGTTTGGGTGGGAGCATGTAATGTTGTGTTTGGACGACTAGGCCTATCGCTCTCGCAAATTGGGCTCGAAGACAGATGATTTCCGAGAGGGGCTCTGCTTGGAAACCTGAACAATAGGGTACAGTATTCCGCTGCAAGGCAACCGGAATCTAAAGAAGAAAAACATAACTGCTCAATCTGTTTCCCTTTGCGCGCTCATTGGCTGACCGCCACAGCCACGCCATATTTGGCCAATCAGCGTTCAGGAGCACTGTTAACAGCTTTCGTAATTTCACCATAAAATTCCTTACAAACAGTTCGTTTTTTTTTAATTTGACGATCAGTGTTCGTAAAGTCGAACATACGAACTGTTCGTAGGTGAAAAACGAACTTTTCGTCACCTATTACGAATAAGACAAATTAGGTGTCAGACCAGACACCAGACTAAGTTACGAACTTTTCACCATTTGACGAGTATTCATTTTCTACAAATTACGAAAAGTTCGTGTTGGAAGTTTAACAGGTGTTTGTTTGTAAATTTACGATAAAACTTCTTACAGTGAGGAAACAGATCGGGTAGTCATGCTTTTCTTCTTTAGGTTCCGCTTGTGTTGTAGAGGAATACCCTATTTGCTTCGAAATCTTAGTCTTGGGCGCTGGGGGCTGGGCGCTGGGCCCAACAGCTTAGGAAAAGGCGCTCTAGGAAACTGCCGCGCCGCTTTCCAAACAGTTCGCGCCGGGCAGGAGCAGTAGGCGGGGATATATTTGCCAGAGGCTGGCGAGAGAGAGAGATAGAGAGAGCGAGAAAGAGCAGTGTGTTGTGTGGGCAAGGGAGGGGTAGAGGGGTAGGGGCGTGCAATTTTCTCGCAAGGAGGTTCCAGCGGTGGGCTCGAAATGGCTTGGAGGGGGCGGCACGGTTTGGCGGTGTGTAATCAGCAGCTACTCGGCGGCATCACTCAAGCAGAGCAGCGGAGGAGGCCTCGACTGCCGCGGCCCTGCCGCGCCCCGCCCCGCCCCGCCGCAGCCGCAATACGATAGCCACTTGATGAGAAGAGGCGTGCAATTTTATTAGCCCTGCTCATTAATCAGCCCGATATGCATCTCGACGGCCTCCACCGCCGCGGCTGGTCGGGGAAGGTTCTCCTCCGCTCTGAACCCCCTCTATAACCCTATACACGCCGCCGGACCTGACCGGTATATACTTGAGCTTTTTTTCTTTTGCTTCGTCTACTTATCTGCATTTTTATTATAATTATTTTTCCCCTCTTTTCCCAGCTGCTTATAGTACTTTCTGCAGTCCGCAGCGCCGGTCGTGGCCTTGAGCTCCCCTCACCTCTACCACCCCGCCGTGCGTGGCAGAATGCGCTCGAATTAGCAATACAAAGTGCAGTTTGCCCGCCGATTGAAGATAAACATCGCGGGAAAGAGAGAGCGAGAGAGAGAGAGAGAGAGAGAGAGAGAGAGCGAGAGAGAGAGCGAGAGAGAGAGAGAGCGGTCGAGCGAGAGGGAGAAGGGAAGAGTGATGGGGGTTGAGATTGCGGCGGCAATGACTTTCGCCTGGCGTGGTCTTCAACAGCGACTGCGAGGTCATCCATTAGTTACGTCACGTGCCGGTGAACTGGTTCAAGCGGAACGCTGCGGAGGTCATCCTTGACGTGCGAGTCGAACAGCAGCAGGGGAAGGTTTATGCGCCAAGTGCAAAAACTCTCAATCGCATTGAACAACTGCATGTGTGAATGTCGAGGACGCAAAGAACGATTCGATTTACCTGCTTGTCACTTGCAGTGGCTTGCGAGGAGACGAATGGCCGGAAGCGCTTGGCCCCTGCCTCCTGTTTGTGAGTAGCGTGCTGTTGGGAACGGTGTAGGAGTGATGTGTGGGCTGGTGACAATGCAAGATCGGGTGGGTGGTGTGTCGGGTTCAGATCCACACGGGTGCAACTAACAAGTGGAGAGAAAGCAACAGTACACTTGACCGCAAAGATTGCGTGTCTCAGCGTCGTAAGGGATTTTTTTTATTGGTTTCCTCAAACACGCCACACATTCTACACATATACATCACATATTTACAACGACAGGAACATTTTTAGTGCTTTAGTGCAGTAAAGTCGTGTTGCCGTGCGGAAAATGTACTTGACGGACAGCACTGTGCTTCACTCGTGCCCGTTTCCTCGTTTACAGACCTGAGCAGAGTGGTGATGGAATAGCTGCACCTCATTCTGGGGGCACCGAGGCCTCTCTCTCATGGCAGGCACGCTCCTCTGCACTCGTCGGATGAGCTAGCGACGGCTCGTCGGCCCCGAAAAGGATGATAAAATCTTGGGAAACAAAACAACTTGACCGAACCTTCTTCTTCTTCAGGGCGCTCGTCGCGGCGCTATGGCTTGCACGGTCGTTTCGCTCCTTCAGAAGGCAGAGAACGTCGACGTCACGCTAGCCGAGCGGAGCAATGGCATGCCGGCCCGGGGCTTGGACTTGGAGGCCGGCGCCGTCGTCGGGAAGCACGCCGAAGGGAACGCCCTGGCGAGCACGCCGTCAGATGCTCGGGCGGCCGAGCGGAGGGGGCGCCACCCGGTCCTCGAGGACGCCGACGAAGACGTCGTACCCCATGGTGTCGCCCACGGCGCGCCGCGGCGGGTGACGCGAGGCGTGGCGGGGCGTGGCGCGGTGGCTCG